GCCAGGGTCAGCCCTTTGTGGGCAGCAATGGCTCGCAGCAGCAGCTGGGACACTTTCAGCACGGATCGCGGGCTCCGCCTGGATGAGCCCCCGAGCGCTCTCTCTTCAGGCTGCGGGCTTTTTACCTCTGCGCTTTGGGACTCCCCACTGGGCTCAGCCGCTTCAGCCATGGCCCCGCTCCGCTTCCGCGGGGCCACTGGCTTTGGGCCTCTACAACCTAGCAAGGCCCACGCTGGACCAGCGAGGCCACGTCACAAACGCTACGCACACAAGCCTGGCAGCCCCACCCAAACACGCCTCTGCTTCCAACAACCAACCCGGCGCCGCCTCCTGCTAGGTCTGAGCCAATCCAAATGTTTAAAGCAGAGGCTTGGGATATATCTGAGTAAATAAAAAGGACAGCTTCTTGAGCTGTTGATGGAGGCCACCAAGTGGCCTGTGCCCATGTGCCACAAGTGACTGTGTCCATGTCTCTTTTCCTCGCCAAATCCATACACCCTTCCAGCAGGGGTGGAGGTGGGAGGACAGTAGCAGAAAATGAGAAAGGCAGGTTGCAACCAGGCTGTGAAGGAGAGATACCAAGATAATGACAGTGTTATGATCACACACCAGGAGTGGCATGGTCTAGAATGAAACCTACAGCTACTTAATTCTAAGTCCCAAGTATTAGCTACTACAGATTTCCTTTTTGCTTAAGGCTGATTCTCTTCCTCTTTTATGCTGCTGCTACAGAAGAGACGTTTAATCTCTGTAATAACAGTTCAAAGTCACTCAGATTCAAGATCCTTACAAGTGGGCCCGGTGCGGTGGCACAGTGGTTAAGGTCCTCGCCTTGCACGCCCGGGATCCCCATATGGGCACCGGTTCTAATCCTGGCAGCTCCACTTCCCATCCAGCTCCCTGCTTGTGGCCTGCGAAAGCAGTTGAGGATGGCCCAAGGCCTTGGTATCCTGTACCCGTTTGGGATACCCAGAAGAAGTTCCTGGATCCTGGCTTCAGATCGACATAGTATTGGCTGTTGTGCTCACTTGGAGAGTGAATCATCGGATGGAAGATCTTCCTCTTTGTTTCTCCTCTTCTCTGTATATCTGACTTTCCAATAAACAAATAAATCTTAAAAAAAAAAAAAAAAGCTTTTTTCCTTTTACAGGTAGCCTAAGAGAAGAAAAGAGGGCCAGAGAACATGAAGGGAAAGCAGTTTCAGAGCTGATGGCCTTGGCTACAGCCCCTTCTCAGGAAGACAGGTGTGTTGTCAGGAGCACTCAGAATGAATGACCAAGAGAAGAGGACACAGGGCCAGGCAACTCATCACTCATCCAGGGTGAAGGGGATGAAGGGGTAATAACGCTGGCCTTGACCTTGGTGATATGGTGTGTCTGGAAAATGTAGCTGGGAGGAGCTGGTGTTGTGGTGCAATAAGCTAAGCTGCCACCTGTGATGCCAGCATCCTATATGGGAGCACTGATGCTGGTCCCTTCTGATCCAGCTCCCTGTTAGTGTGCGTGGGAAAGCAGCAGATGGCGGCTCAGGGGCTTGGGTCCCTATTTTAGGTTCTCCTGTCCTCAGCCTGGCCCAGGCCTGGCCAGTGCAGCCATTTGGGGAGTAAATTATTCTGTCCCTCTCCCAAATTCAAATAAACAAAATTCCTTAGGAAAAAAAAGGAAGGATGGGAAGGAGGGAGAGAGAGAGAAAGAGAAGGAAGGAAGAGAAAGAAAGAAAAGAAAGAAAAAAGAGAAAGAAAGAAAAGGAAGGAAGGAAGAGAAGGAAGGAAGGAAGGAAGGAAGGAAGGAAGGAAGAAAGAAAGAAAGAAAGAAAGAAAGAAAGAAAGAAAGAAAGAAAGAAAGAAAGAAAGAAAGAAAGAAAGAAAGAAAGAGAAGGAAGAGATAGAGTAAATATAGTTGGGAAATGGTCTACAGTGGCAAATTGGCCTGCACCTTCCTAGGCAGGACCTAGATCCCCATGTTCCCACGAAGCTTTGAGGAAGCACTGGACAGACAAGCATCTCTGAGTGCGCACTCTGAGCTCTGGTGGGAGAAGACCTACCCTTGCAGTAGAATGATGCAAGAGAGGCTGTGGAGGCTGGTTAGTTTACCACAGCTTACGTTCAGATTCTTCAGGTACATTCTGTCTCCTTAGCTTCTGCCACCCACCTCCTGGCACAGGGCCAGGCCTCGGTGGGCACTTGGTGGTGCTTGCCAGAGCTCGGCAAGAGTGTCACATTGTTACTCTCCAACAGATGGCACCATTACAGCATTCCTGATAGAGCAGGGGTCCTGCATTAAGTACTGTGCTTCCAAGAGGACTCTGCCTCCAAGACAACCCAGAAGTGATAGGAAAACGTGGCAAATGGAGTGAAAGACTCAAGAACACACTGCTGGCACTACTACATTGCTGCTTACAGCAGTGGGGATCCTGGCATGTCCCTGTGGAATGAAAATTTGTCTTTTCTATTTGCAGGGAGAATAGATGAACGTATCCAGGGAAAGAATTGTTCCTCAACTTATGAAAAGCTTCCAGGTGAACTGCTTTACTCTGCACATTGAAGCAATAGCCTAGGGTGCTTCTAAAGTCACAAGGAGATGTTGGCTGCAAGGGAGCGCAGGGGAAGTCACCACGTACCTAGCAGCAGTTTAGCTGTACTGTGCAGACACTGTGGCACACATGTGTCTTCATTCTGACAGGTGAAAGAACCCCTTAAGACAACCTTCCTGGACCAGGGAGGGGCAGCCAGAAAGGGATGGACAGAAGCCACATTGCAGGCCATGCTCCTCATCTCTCACATTTGAGCAGTGCTTGGAACTCCAGGGCACTGGCAGACTCAGCAACAGCCCAGGACAATTTTTAGCACACAGTGGGTGTCAACATAGACAGTCTTGACTGGACAGGTGGCGAGCAGTGAGGGAAGCTTCTGCTGTGAGAAATACTCTGCAGGCCTGGGGGCAAGGGCACTGGCAGCACCAGGCCTGGGCAGAGATGCCTGACTCACACCCTCAGTGCCCTTGGACTTGCAGCTCCTCTTTATTTCCTTACTTTTTGAGAATCAGGTTTAAACATGGAACTGTACAGTTCTGCACTCAGTTCCAAAGTGTGTCATCTCCTGAAGTCCCACGGTGCCAGGATCAATGAGAGCCCGGTGGGAATCCCAGCCGATACTCCTGCGGCAAGAAGGACAAAGCAGGACAGGAGGCTGCAGAACTGCATATGCTAATGGAAAACTGTATCTGAACCTGGAGAACCAGATAGGAGAATGGACTGAGGGCACAGGACAGGAGACATAAACGGAGAGTTGAAAGTGGTGGGGGTTGAAGCACCAGACGGGAAACACCCAGACATGAGTGAGCTAAGCTTCCCTGGGCACTCCTGGCAGACTCTGCAGGCTGAGTTTCAGAGAACAGAGCAGTGTGGGACGCTGGGACCCTAGCTCTGTCCTCCCCAAGAACTGGTCCTCCGGCACGTCATCTTTGGGTTGCTCCCTGACCTGACCCAAATCCAAACTGCCCCTGGACCCCTTCTTGCACACATCCCGTTCTTTCAAGCCACTGCCCACCACCGTGTACTTCCACCCACCAAGAACCTGGAAAGGCCTGTGCCAGCTCAAGGATGTCACTATCCCTTTCCTTAATTCTCTCCTGAAGGGTAAAGTTTCTTTAAATAAGAAAAGATCCAAAATTACAGTCTCTGGAAGCTTCCCTAAGTAGTCTTAATTTCTCAGGGGGGCTAGTTATCACCACTACCCCCATCGCAGGGAATTATAAGGAAATTCACATTTGCACAAGACTTCCTATAGGTGTTACACATTTTTCTCTCTCAACAACTAAATCCTCATTTTATATACATGCAGAAACTAAAGGATCATTCCATGTTAGAACTGAGATGCCGGCAGATTTGTGCCACCAGGGCTCTCCCCACTTCCCCCACCTCCACACCCACCCCCGCAACCCAGAAGCAGCCAGCAGCAAGACACACACAGGCATGGACACACCCAGTACCCTGGCTCATCCCTTCTCCAAGATTGCTCCAGGGCAGTCTTGGGAAATCTCTGTGGCTCAAGGCTGTAGATGAGCTGATATCAGCCCAAGCTCTCTGGGGAACACCTTACTGGCATCCTCCACTAGAGGCCTGAGCAGTCCCGGTGATGTGTCACTCCACAGAGATCCAGGGCAATCCCTCCAGAACAATCCCTCCCACTCCACCCCCTCTCCCAACTGCCACAGAGCAGGTGTCCAACCTGCCATTCCAGAACCCAGGCTTGCAGATCATCTCCCTGGGGCAAGACATTGCACTGAAAAGAGGTCTTTTGCACAAATGCATCTCCAGCTACTGCAAACCCTCCTGAACAGGGCCAGGGGAGTCCTCAACATATCCTACTGCTCACCCAGCCAGAGGTCAAGGGCCAGCACAAAAGGGAAAGCAGGCAGAGCTGGCCGAGCCTGCCCCAACTAGGGCAAGGACAGTCAATTCCTTGGAACTGGAGATAAGGACAGAAGCAGGAAGTCCTGGTCCATGCAGGGCGCCCAGAAGCCCCTTCCCTCACCCCTTAGTATCAGTCAGCAAGGAGGAAAGATGACGCCTTTTTATTGAGGTTAACACAAGGACAGCGCCGAGGAGAGGTACACAGGGGAAGGGCACGCGGTCATCACTCAGGAGGAGGGAGGCACATCAGCTCAGGGACCTCAGGACAGCCACATGCTCCATGCCCTGGGCGGGTTGGGGGGAGGAAAGGAAGCGCCACGACACTTGGGGGCTCACAGGAGGGTCTGAAGCTTCCTCAACTAACACCACAGCCCTGCCCCTCGGGGCTCACACACTACTGCACAGTGGACACGGACACGATGGAGGCGACACCAAGAGGCAGCGGGCAGGGGCACACTGACAGAAAAGGGAACTGCAGCTAAGCAGGTGTGGCCAGGAGAGACAGTTCTGCTGCAGCTCCGAGAGTGCCTCAAATGTCCCCCTAGGTCTCTGCTGCCTGTGAGAGAGTGGGAGCCTTTGTTCTCTAACCCCAGAGAGAGGAAAAGCGATCCCGTGCACAATCCAGAAGCTGACCTATTATTGTGTCTTCATGCATATTCGTGGCCAGCTTCTCCAGGCGCACCCTGGGAACCCCTTTCCACTTTACCAATCACAGCGCAGACTCGGGGAGCTGGGGTGGGGTGGCGACTTCTGCAGAACACACAGTGTCTGGGATTCAGCACAGGGGCACCTTCCTATTGCCAGAACAGAATCTGCCCCCCGCCCCCCATCCACTCACCCAAACCCCCGGACCTCCTTAATTTCTATGTAAATGGTTGGAGACGGTCGGCTGTAGTCCCAGAGGAGTCCTTGTTCGGAATAGAAAAGGCAGGGTTCTATGTACACAAGCCAGGGGTCCTCCGGCCGTCCTCTCGCGGAAGCTCACCTTTGCACAGCCCCGCAGGGTCTCGCGGCGGGTAGCGAGAGCCGCTGTCAGAGCTCCCACGAGCCAGCGCCCTGTAGACCCCAGCCGCCAAGGCGTCTCTCGGCCCTGCCCGTGAGCAGCCGTCGGAGGACGGTGTCCGACCCACTACGGCCGGGGCGCCCCCGGGGCCTCACAGCCCGGCCTCACCCCCGAGCCGCAGCAGGGCGTCGGGCGGGTCCCGGGGCTCCAGCGGCAGCGCAGCCTTGCTGCCTGCGCCGGAGCTCTCGGGGCGCTCCCGGCAGCCGGTGGGAGCGGCGGAGCGGGGCCGCTCCTTCTCCTCGGCGTCCCGGTCCTCCGGGTCCTCGCTGGCGACTGCCTCCGGCGCAGGGCACTGTGGTTCCCGGGGGTTGCCAGCGCAACGCCCCTGGCCGCCTTGGCGTGGTGCCGTGGTCATGATCCGGCACATGGACACGATGGCTCGCTGGTTCGCGCACACGTCGTCCGAGAGCACCTGGATGTGCGAGGCCTGCTCGTCCAGGGCGCCCCGCATGGCCCGCACGTCCTCGAACAGGGCCTGCAGCTGCGCCTTCAGGTGCTCCATCAGCTCCTTCATGCCGCCGTTGTACTCGCCCGAGAGCACGTCGCCCACGGCCGGCACGCTGGACACCTCCAGGGGCGCCGGCACGTCGCCGCTGTCCTTGGTCATGAGCTCCAGCGGGCCGTCCTCCATGGGGTCGGGGGCGCGTCCAGCTCCGATGCGCGGGGCAGCGGCTGCGGGGGTCCCGGGGCCGGCGCCTACCGCGCGCGCCCTGCCCACCTCGCCTCGGGGCTGTTCCCGAGTCGGCGCACCCCGCGCAGCGCGCGCCCGCCGGTGCCGTCCAGGCCGAGGCCGCGGCCCGGGGCTCGGGACACCCCCCTCCCCAGCCAGGCACGGGCGGCGCCCGCGAGTTCGGCGGGGGCGCGGCTCCGGCCGCGCGCCCAGCTGCTGTTTCCAAGGCGACGCACGGCACGTAGGTGACGTGTCTCCGTGGAAACCGGGACGTGGGGCGGGCGAAGCGGAGCGGTGTGGCGCCGCAGTGGGCGGGCCGGGGCGCGCCGCCTGGCGTCAGGCTCCGTCAGGCTGCCTGCTCCGTGTCCTGCGAGTCCGTGTGGCACCTGCGAGTCCGTGGCTCCGGAGAATGTGGTGTTGTGAGGACGGCATCGTGCACGTGGCCACTTCAGGAGTCCTTGGACTAGATCCTTTACGCCGTACCTCCAGCAGCCCAGGCCACTCCCTTTCTGGAGCTGTGCTGGGACCTTCTGTGTCTGAGGGCGGGGGCGTGGGAGAGAAGCAGAAAGGATCTGCAGTTCGAAATGGAGTTCTCACGGGCGGACGAGCCCGGAACCGGTGCGGCCGGGCCGGAGACCCAGAGGCGGGTCAGACCTGCGCCAAGCGATTGAGGTACAGGAGGTTGCGGAAATGCTCAGTAGACATACTCGAAGGTGTGGCTGATAGTATCGGGCGGGGCGGTACTCGGAAATTTGGTTTCCCCCAGTAAATACACTAAAGATGTGAAATCCTAAGATCCTGCCTGCTGTTGATGCCTTCTTTGCTTTCTCGGGTTTCTGCATCCACCAAGGGGCTGTCACCCTAGCACACCCGCCCCTGGTGCGGGTGAGAACACTGGAGGATTGCTCGTGCCTTGCTCCGGGCAAGCCCAGAGTCTCTCCCGCTTCAGAAAGTTGGCAACAGGACCCCTGGAAGACAGCAAAGCGAGCACAGTCACTGACCGGGCTCTGAGCCTGAGCAGCCAACGACCTGCTGTTACTTGCAGGGGGCAGGAGGGGAGGCGGAGTGCCGCTATTGCCAAGCTCTTCGCCTAGCGGAATCTCATCTTCAGCTGCACCCAGGCTGCCTTCCTCGTGTCTTCACAGTCTCATAAACTTACCCTGTGAGCCAAATTATGCCCTGCTGCCCAAGGGCCCTAGCTGTGAGTTCCCTGAGTGCACGTATGGGTGCTCAGAGCCAGGGATGGGTATCATCAAAGACTCTGATGCAAGTGCCGGAAGGCAGGGGTACCGCTGACCTGGCGTTTGTAAACTGAGGCTGGGTGGAAGCTGAGGGAGTGGACAGCGGTGGGACCACCTGGTGCCTTGCACTCAGATGGTGGCAGAAATTCTGTGTGAAAAAGAAGGGGCTGGTCTTGGTCAAGCAAAGAAGGGGACACATTTCACACTGTTCTGTGGACAGGGAAGATTGTCTGCCAGAACCTCAGCTGCCAGACCTGCTCTCTAGCCTGGCCCCTAGCTTTCCCACACCTCTCCCTTCCTTCTTGGCTGTGTGAGTATTGTCCCCTGCGGCAAGAAGCTCCACTACTGCTGTATAGCAGTCAAAGCCTCCTCAGTCCATTTCCTTTCCTAACCCTAACACAGCCAGTGGGTTGCAGTCATGGGACCCCTCAGGGATTGGAGGCACAAGATGCTGAAAAGCCATGTGCTGTGGTTTGGTTTCACAGGCCCAGCACAGCGCCTCTGTACCTGTCCGGAGAAGCAGCTATAGATTACCTATATGAAGTGCTGGGCACAGGGCCCGGTGCTGTTGACACCTACTAGGTGCTTGCTGAGGGCTGGATTCTACTAGGGTACTGTGTGTGTTGCAATGTGTGCGGGTACCCACTAAGTGTCTAAAGTGCTGCACAGGGCCTGGTGCTGTGACACCTACTGGGTGCTTGCTGAGTAGTGACTGAAGTAACAGAAGTCTGCCTGAAGAGCTACAAGTCTTTCCTGAGCTTTAGCCTCTGAGGCCACAGAAGCTGTCTGAGTGCTTAGGCTGTTTGCTACCCGCCTGGGGGACCCAGATGGTATTGTGGATCCACTTTTTGTCTGAGCAGGCCATGAATCCATTTATGAAAATGGACCAGCAAATGGAAGACCCTCTCTGTGTCTTTCCCAACCCCAGTCACTTGTTATTTCTAATAAATAAAACTTTAAAAGAAAAACAAGGATGATAAAGTGCCCACCTGCTCTAGTCCCCTTGCCTATCACCAGACCCACCATTAAACTTGCACTGGTGCTGAGGCCCAGATTATCAGCACACCAGCTCAGTGCAATCCCTCCCATCCACCAACCCCCGGTCACACTTGTTCAAAAACTGCATGCTCTCCATACTTTATCTTCAGGAAAGAACTCCTGATTTCCATGCCTGTTCTGCTGGAGTAGATCTCAGAAGAACCCTGTGAGTGGTGATAAGGTTGATAGCTACCTAAGAAAGGGGGTTCCAAGTATGAAGGTTGCTGTGCTTTGAGGCTGGTGTTTCTCTTTCCTATGAGTTCCTGAATGGGCATATTAGGAATTTAGGGCAATTTTCACACTGTTTACTTGTTTTTCCATGTAAAACATGCAAAAATGGTTGCACGCTCATCTCTCTTATTTCCATATTTGTGAATTCAACCAACCACAGATCAGAACTATTCAAGCATTAGCTTCTGTGCTGAGTTTATTAAAATTCCCTAAGCTAAATAAAGCACAACACCCACCTATAGGGTGTTTACATTGTATTTGGCATTAGAAGTAGTCTAGAGGTGATTTCAGGTGTGCAGGAGGTTGCCCTTATGTGAAGACAGCCACGGTGAGGAAGGTGGCAGGTTTCTGGACATTTGTTCATACAGTGTATAATGAGGGTAGTGTCGGGGCCTGGCGCGATGGCGCAGTGGTTAAGGTCCTCGCCTTGCACACCTGGGATCCCATATGGGCGCCGGTTCTAATCCTGGCAGCCCCACTTCCCATCCAGCTCCCTGCCTGTGGCCTGGGAAAGCAGTCGAGGACGGTCCAAGGCTTTGGGAACCTGCACCTGTGTGGGAGACCCGGAAGAGGCTCCTGGCTTTGGATCGGCATAGCAGCGGCTGTTGGGCTCACTTGGGGAGTGAATCATCGGACGGAAGATCTTCCTCCCTGTCTCTCCTCTCTGTATATCCGCCTTTCCAATAAAAATCTTTAAAAAAAAATGAGGGCAGTGCCATGTTCCAGTGTCATTGAAACAAAATCTTTCTTCTTGGTTTTGTAGCCAAGCTCATATATACCTAGGGTTACTTATCCCATTTATTTCCAGGTTTAGGGATTGCTATTTTTGCGTCTTTTTAATTTAATTGACTTTATGCATACATGATTGCCTGATTGCAAAGCCAAAACTACATGAAAAGCTTAAAGACTGATTTATTTATTTTCAGAGTTACAGAGAGAAAGCTCTTCCATCACAAATGGCTACAGCAGTCAGCTCTGGGCCAGGCCAGAGCCAGGAGCCAGGAACTTTATCCAGGTCTCCCCATGTGAGTGACAGGGGTCCAAATACTTGGACCATCACCTGCTGTTTTTCCCAGGTCATTAGCAGGAAACTGCCAAGACAGAAATGTATGTCCATATGGGAAGCAGGTGGCTGCCTGACCGACTACAACTGCAGGACAATGCCAGCCCCTAGATGCTATTACTACTCAATTTTTGATTGTCCTTCCACTGCTTCATTTTGCACAAAGAGAAGGTACCATAATATATTATGGTAGTGATTCTAAAGGAAACATCAGAATACACTTCGTCATGTTGATACCTTCATAATGTTCCACCTTGTGCCTCCCTGTTGATGGATATCTGGGGTGTTTCTGTGTGTTTTCCCTCACAGTGCTGGCAGCAGAGTGAGCTCACAGGCTTTTGAATTCCTGTCAGCACAATTAGGAATGGTAATTCTATGTGATGTAGATTGCCTTTCTCTTTTGAGGTGAGCATGTTTAAGGGCTCCTTGCATGGATTTTTGTTAAAACTCTCTGCTTCTGTCTTAGGCTTGTTTTTTTTTTTTTTTTTTTTTTTTTCCAAAAAGCACTGTTTTTATTTATTTATACAGAGTCAAAACCACTTCAGTGGCAGGAGGGCTGGAGGGGCACCAATATCTAGCAGCCTCCACAATGTTGGCTTGGTGTTACCAAACACACAGGCAAGTGGCATCATGGATTTGGTAAACTAACGACAATGCTTAGTCTCTCTCAGCTAGAGCGACAAGGTGGGCATCAATCTCTGCTTCTGTAAGAATCCTGAATTTGGGATTTTCAACAGTAACAACTCCAACTTCTATTTCTGAAGGTTTGAAATCAATTGACAGGACAGTAGACAGGCATGTAATTGCAGTTTCCACTGTCTGTTCAAATGTCCAATCAAATTTCTTTTTCACCTTCTTCTCCAGGAAGCTGGTTGACTCAGTTTGTTTGACTCCTGCAGCAGTGGCTTTGAACCCACAATAGTAACCCGCAGGATCACACTTGTACACCTGAGGGCCTTGTTCTTCATCTATACCAATTAAAATCATACAACAACCAAGTGGCCTCATTTCAGCATTCTGTGTGTAGACCTGAGAAATATCAGCAATTCTTTTACACAGCATGTCCACAGGAATCTCATAGCCATACTTGTACTTCCAGTTAGCTGCCTCATAGCGTGCCCTCTGTACCTGGGATCTGCTGTCAGCTGTCATTCCTGTCATCACACAGCCGATATTTTCGGTTATCTTACATAAGTGAGTCACCGTACTGGAATCCAACAATTTGTCAGGTACTTTCTTCTGTGTAACAATTACTGCACAGTCTTTCCCTCTGACAGCTACTGACGTCAGGCCTCCCTGATTAATAGCCTTAAAAGCATATTCTACTTGGTAGAGCCGCCCCTCCGGGGAAAAAATGGTAATGTGGCGGTCGAAACCGGCGCTGGACCCGCGGGACATGTTGGCGAACCGCCCCCCTCCGTCCTGCACACTCCCCGGGGCCCGTCGCTCCCGCACCCCGCGAGCAAGGCCCTCCCCGCTTGTTTTTTTTTTTATAAACTTTTTTTTTATAAGATTTATTTCTATTATTTCTTTTTTTGGAAAGGCGGATATACAGAGAGGAGATACAGAGAGGAAGATCCTCCATCCGATGATTCACTCCCCAAGTGAGCGCAACGCCGACACCACGCCGATCCGAAGCCAGGAGCCTCCTCCGGGTCTCCCACCAAGGCCTTGGGACCCTGTACCCTCATGGGAGACCTGGAAGAAGTTCCTGGATCCTGGCTTCGGATCAGCATAGCACCGGCCGTTGTGCTCACTTGGGGAGTGAATCGTCGGACAAAAGATCTTCCTCTCTGTCTCTCCTCCTCTCTGTATATCTGACTTTCCAATAAAAATAAAATAAATCTAAAAATATATATATTTTTTTCAAAGGTGTATTTACAGAGAGAAAAGAAGAAAGAGAGACATCTTCTATCTTCTGGTTCCCTCCCTCAAATGGCTGTAATGTCATCCTGAAAGTGTGGATGATGGCCTTAGTTATAGATTAATAAAGTCATTTCTCCCTTAAGCATCTTCTTGTTACCTGTTCGATTAATCCTGGCCTCCCTCCCATTCCTAAATGGAAAACTAGGCAAATTCCCCCTTTCACGCTTTGATTACGGACAGTTCTTCAATGGCCCCTTGAAGTCAAACGTCTCCAGCTCACGTCACTGAGGCGCATCCGTCAAGCCTCCTCAAGTGGATACCTGTCGGCCGGGGAGGCAGCCACTCCAGGGTCAGCGCTGCTTCCAAACAGGAGGCCGGAGCGCCACGTGTGAGCCCGTCATGGCGGCGGCAGAAGGGTTCTGCTCCCAGGTCTGCCGCGCGGCCTCAGGTCGGGGCCCGGGGGCGCCCAGGCCGCTGAGGGACGCGACGCGGGATGAGGCCGCGGGCGGACGCGGGCAGCGGCGGGTCGCCACCGCCAGGCCCCGAGCACGCGTGCGCGGCCGCAGAGCCCCGGGGCAGGGAGTCCGGGCGCAGGCTCGCAGTGCGCCTGCGCAGAGCCTCTGGCGCCGCGCCGGGAAATCTCGCCGGATTGGGGTTTGCGCTGAGCGACCCGGAGGCTCGCCGCAGCCAGTGCGCAGGCGCGCGTCCGGGTCGGGCACCGTCCGGTCCACAGGGGTCGCTGGTGACACTTGTGCTTCCGGTTCACGCTTGGAAAGCGGCTGTCGGGAACCACCTCGGCCCGGGCCTGGTGAGTGCGGCCTCGGTGCGGGGCGGGCGTGCGGCCAGCCCCGCATCGCCGTGCGGACCCTCGAGGCCGCCACGCGTTCCGTCCCGGGGGCGGCTCGAGCAGGCGGCCGGAGCGCTTTGGCTCGATCCCGGGGCCCCGGAGTCTGGGGTCCCTGGTCTCACGCGAGGCGGGCCGGGCGCGCTGTCGCGAATGCAGAGGAGAGAAAATGTGATATAGAAGGCATTCCCCGGCATTGCGTTTATTTCCCTTCGCCAGCCACAGGGTATCCTGTTGTGGTTGTTGGCTCGGAGTCTTCAATTCACTTTATTTATTTATTTATTTTTATTACAAAGCCAGATATACAGAGAGGAGGAGAGACAGAGAGGAAGATCTTCCATCCGATGATTTACTCCCCAAGTGAGCACAACGGCCGGTGCTATGCTGATCCGAAGCCAGGATCCAGGAACTTCTTCCAGGTCTCCCATGAGGGTGCAGGGTCCCAAGGCCTTGGGCCATCCTCGACTGCTTTCGCAGGCCACAAGCAGGGAGCTGGATGGGAAGTGGAGCGGGGCTGCCGGGATTAGAACTGGCACCCATATGGGATCCTGGTGCGTTCAAGGCAAGGACTTTAGCCGCTAGGCCACGCCGCCGGACCCTTACAGTTCACTTTAAATCTCACTTCCTCAAACCCAAATTCGGCCTCGCTGGTATGAGCTTGAGGTGACTACTGGGCAGGTTGCTGCTCGGACCTCCAACCTTTCCCCTCGGCTCTGCTGCAGACCGGAGGTCTCAGGGGTGCCTTACTCAGACAGACACTGTGTGCAGGGCAGATGGTCCTGCCTCACCACCAGGCCGCCAGTCAGTAGCAGCCAGTGTCGGAGAAGGGCAGGTGCTGGCCTCCCCCACAGCTCAGATGCAGAGCAGACCACAGCTCCGGCTGGCTCAGGGCTGAGAGAGCAGTTCCTTGGCACCTGTAGGCCTCTGGATGTGAGCACACCCGCAGGCCGACACAGCGCTGCTGTCTGTTGCAGGCCCCGCGGAGCATGCTCACGCCTTGGCCAGCCCCATGAGTTCCAGCATGTGGTACATCATGCAGGGCATTCAGAGCAAGTACTCACTCTCAGAGCGCCTGATCCGTACCATTGCCGCCATCCGCTCCTTCCCCCACGACAACGTTGAGGACCTCATCCGAGGGGTGAGTCATGGCGGCCCTTGGGCAGTGGGGGACTGGGAGAGCTGCTGGTCAGCTCTGGCAGATATTGTTGGGGAGCACGCAGCCTCCAGGGTTTCTGGGTGCTTGTTGACTTGACCATTAGAATGCACTTTCTCCTGTGTCTGCCTTCCCTTCCTCTCACTAGGCACAGGGTGTTTTTCTTGAATTCTGTTCATGATGAGCTTCCTGGCTGTGGCACGTGTGACACCACTGGACTCAGAGTTTCGGCCTGCTGTTAGCCAAATGAGGTGGCCGCAGACACTTGAGCTTTTGTCCCTGCTGCGGGGGACATCACACACCAGATTTCCTTTGTTCTGTCCCCCAAACTGCACTTCATTTTGGTTGATTTGAGAGGTGCAGAAGGAGCCCACGTCCTCTGCTTTAATCTCTGAATTCCCTCCGCAGCTGGAGCTGGGCCAGGTCACGGCCTGTAATGGTACCTCCCCTAGCATTCCCAGTGGTGTGTAGTGGGCAGCAGGGACCAGGAGCAGTGCACTCCAGTGTAGGTGCAGCATTCCAAGTACCTCCTTTGTTTTGTACTGAACTTTATTTATAAGGTGAGGAAATCACATACTCTCAGGGACAGAGTGGACAGAGAGGACAGAGAGGTGAAAGGCAGGGCAGGGAGGGCGTCTCTCCCAGTGGCCTGGCTTCGCCTGAGCCTGGGAAGGGAGTACTTACAGGAAAGCTCCTCCAGGTCCCAATGAGGAGCATTCCATCCTGGGAAAAGGGTCATTTAATTGTCAAGGAGGCAGAGTGCTACATAGGCCCTGGGAAGTGTGACTTCCTGTGGGTGCCTGTCGCGTTTCAATTCCTGAGAGATTTCCGACTCCTGTTCTTAGGGGTTGCTAAAGGGTGCGCTGTCCTTCCTGCCCAAGCAAGGACATCCCACCCTCCATAGGAGTGATTGCTGCTCCTGGTTCTGTGGCATTAATCCTGGAGATGCCTGGAGGTTACAGAGGAAATCACCTTAACTGCTGGCTTTCCCTGGGTGCTCACTAAGTGGTGGGTGGCTGGTGTCCTGAGAGCTTGAGTACCCCGTTCTGCATATTACTCCTGTTGATGGGAAGTTGCAGGAAACCTTTCTAGGCCCTAGAAGATGCACAGCAATGGTAACTTGCATGTTTTAGGGTCCTCATGGATAGCCCAGACTAAGTATAGCTGCTTCACAGTCAAGTGGTACAATACAGCTGTGGATGGCTGCACCCGGATCAGGTGGCCTCCGAAAACTCAGCAGTAGAGATGCTGCCATGTTCTGACTCCAGCTTTGCCACTGAGAGTCACTCAGGGCCTTGGGCAGACTGCTGGGACATGACCATGGTGTCATTTCTTCCCTGAGCACAAATGGAAAGCAGGAACCAGGAGTAGGTTCACATTACCAGCAGAGTTCAGTTTTGGACAGGCAGAGCAAAGCCCACTGACCCAGTGTGCTGTCCCACAGGGTGCTGACGTGAACTGCAGCCATGGCACCCTGAGGCCCCTTCACTGTGCCTGTATGGTGTCGGATGCCGACTGTGCCGAACTGCTCCTGGAAAAAGGGGCCGAGGTAACTTTGGACCCACACACCAGTGCTCTGTTGTGACCCTACCTTCACGTGTCTCCCCTTACCCGCATACCAGCACCTCACTGTGACCCTACCTTTATGTGTCCTCACCCGCACACCAGCACCTCACTGTGACCCCACCTTCGTGTGTCTTCCCTCATTGTCACCCTGTCACTTCCACTGATGTTGGCAGTGCTAGTATTAAAACAAACGGGTGGTAATTGGGGTTGTCCCTCATTATCTGGACTATTGAGCTCGAAGGTTCTAGATCCCTGATGCTCAAGTCCCTTACGTGGAATTCTGTGTCATCTGTCTAGCAGCTGTGTCTTGATGTCAACCTGGCAGCGTCTGTCTACTCTCTGGGACTTGCTGCGTCTTCAGGGTGTTGGGTATAGGGGCAGTGTTTCTATCTGGGTACTCTCCATCCAACCCTGGTGGCCTCCTGGCCTCAGCATATGGGGCCTGCTTCCTCCCTTTGCCTCTTTCTCCTGGATTTAAGCTGCTAGCTCCATGGTCCTGGCTGGCATTTTGAGGCTTGTTCATGCTTGTGTGTCATCCAGATCATTCTGACACTGCATTCCTGTCAGCTTGCTTGGGACACCCTACCTAAAGATGGGCTATGGCTGCTGTTTGAACCCACTCAGTGATTCTAAATGAGGCAGCTTGCCAGAGGTCATGAAATTAACTCCATATTGGTGCAGAACCTTTGAAATCACATGTGGCTTTGTCATGGTGTGTTTTCTGTGAGCCCTGAAGCTGTGCATGTGGGCAGGGCTTTGGCTGTGGTAGTTTTTGTTATGGCTGACATGAGCTGCAGGACAACTACAGCCTTCCTTGTGGCTAGTGGGAGGTGCACTGGACTGGCGGACTAAATGGTTCTTGTCCTGTTGCACTTCCACTGCTTGTGGCCACCTTGCATGCTGAGAGTACGACCATGGGTAGTACTTGCAGGGGGCTCTACTAGCAGCCGCTGTCCTGGTGACCTTGCTACTCCCTCTCACAGGTGAACGCGCTGGACGGCTACCACCGCACAGCCCTGCACTATGCGGCCGAGAAGGACGAGGCCTGCGTGGAGGTGCTCTTGGAGTATGGTGCAGACCCCAATGCGCTGGATGGCAACAGGGACACCCCGCTGCACTGGGCTGCCTTTAAGAACAGCGCCGAGTGCGTACGTGCTCTCCTGGAGAGCGGGGCCACAGTGAATGCCTTGGACTACAACAATGATACGCCACTCAGCTGGGCTGCCATGAAGGGCAATCTGGAGAGTGTGAGCATCCTTCTCGACTATGGCGCGGAGGTCAGGGTCATCAACCTCAAAGGCCAGACTCCCATCTCGCGCCTTGTGGCTCTGCTGGTCAGGGGGCTTGGCACTGAGAAAGAGGATGCTTGCTTCGAGCTGCTGCACAGGGCAGTGGGGCACTTTGAACTGCGCAAGAACGGCACCATGCCACGAGAAGTGGCCCGAGACCAGCAGCTGTGTGAGAAGCTGACCGTGCTGTGCTCAGCCCCCGGAACCCTAAAGACACTGTCTCGGTATGCTGTGCGCCGCAGCCTAGGTCTGCAGTACCTGCCCGAAGCAGTGAAGGGCCTCCCACTGCCGGCATCCCTGAAGGAGTACCTGCTGCTGCTGCAGTAGCTGGCACCGCCTGTGGGCAGCACAGAGCAGCCCAGCTCCTGTTGTGTGTTTTATAGGTTTCAAGGCAAGACACCACAGCAGCAACGCCATGCCACCTCCTTCCACCCAAAGCAAGCAACCAAACAAAGCAATTCTCACTTCTGTTTTCTGTTCATTGCTTACGTGGCTTCTTACAGTACACCCCGCCAAAGAATAGGGCCCTTCCTTCCATTCTGGAGAGTCAGCAGTGCTTACCCCTGAGTCTCTAGGAGCAGAGAGAGTATCAAGAGGTGTGAGTTCTTTTGGGGGTATGAGGTAACAAGCCAGAATCTTGTAGGGAGCTTTCCATTGATATGGGAAGACGTTTCTGGAATGCACAGTTAAGCTCCAGGATGAAGACATGCAGGGGCACTCAGGAGGGACGGTCTCCTTGCCCTTATCAGCAGCCCTGGCACACTCTGCCTCAGTGCTGTGGGAATGCCTAGGGCTTGGGGTAGTTTGGCAGTTCTACTTCAGAAAACGTACCTTGCTGCTTCCCACAAAACAGAGGCTGTGTGGGAGCTTAGAACCTTTAAACCCTGGAAATTTTGCTTCTAATGCTCCCAGTGCCTCTGGAACCATGGCCTTCCCAGCTGTATGCCATGTGCTTGTGGTACAGAGGAAAGGTGTGGCCTGGCTCTGTCTCCCATGGCCATCTGCATTCCCTGTGGAAAGCTTGCTCTCTCAGTTGGTGTTTGTTGCCTTGTCTGGGATTCTGCTTTGTGGTAATCACAACGGGTGAGGGTGCAGGTAAAGAGTGAGGAAGAGCATACAGAAGCCTCATGGTGGCTGCTTACCCCAGTGTGTTTCAGTAACTATGTGGCCAATGACACTGTTCTTTTCTATGTTCCTAGGGTATCAAATCCTCACTGATCTTAGATGACCTGTGTGCAAATTTGAAGAAACTTTTTAAGGCAGTTGAGTGGGATCTGCTGACACCTAACTTGGGAATAGTGTGGTCTGCATTTGTCCTTTGCCATTGATGTTTTTGTCCCTTTACAACGAGAAGAAATAAATAGTTCAAAAGGCACATTTGGTAATTTCTATAGTTGTTATGTTTCTGCACTCCCTTCGTCCCTCAGGCCCTGGCCTTCTCTGTCTGGTCCAGCTTTGCCCCTAGCCACAGTGGCAGCTGCTTCAATGACACCAGGAATGATAGCCACTGCTTTGGTGGTAGCTGTTACATCCAGCTTGGATGAGAGCAACTAGGGACTTAGGAGCTCCTGACTTGCTTCTGATACTTAAAAAGAGTGGGAAGAGGAAAACACTTTGTCCACATGGGGAAAGATGTTGCCTGTTTTCTCACTTATTCATGATTACTTGTGTTGTTGATGGCTAGTCATTGACCTCATCTTTACTTAGAATTTAAATAGATTTCCTCTTTAAAGGTTTATTTAAAAGGCAGTTTGGCAGAGATCTTTATCTGCTGGTTCATTCCCCAAATGCCTGCAACAGCCAGGGCCAGGCCAGATCAAAGCCAGAATTCCACCCAGGTCACAACAGCAAATGAAGTCCCTGGGTCATCATCTTCAGCCTTTGTAGGTGGATTAGCAGGAAGGTAGACTGAAAGTGGAGCAGTCAGGGCTCGAACCAGCACTCCCAAGTAGGAGGCCAGAGTCACAAGTGGCTATTCATCTGTGCACCACATGTGGGGGCCCCACTCATTTATGGCTGTGAAAGAACAGTACACATTGCCTAGGGTTTCCTCTGAGCAGCTTTCTCCTAGGCCACATTTCAGTCCTAAGCTTGCTGCTGCTCTTCTGAGTAGCTTGCCACTGTGACACAGCCCATCCCTCCCTGTCAAGTGACTCTAGAATTAAAGACTGTAAAGAGAGCCTGTCCTTTCACAGCAGTTAGCGCTGGACACACTGGTGCACTGTGCCTGAGTTCTTTCACTCAGTGTGATAGCCTCATGGCATTTGAATTTGAGAAAAACAAACTGCTACAGATTTGAAATCAGAACTAAGTCTGAGATCCAGTTTTTTGAAAGACTGCATAGCTGGCAGACCCTACTGAGTTCTCAATCCCCAAGGTCCTCTTGTGAGAGGAGCTGCCTCCCCTCTCACCACCAAGCTACTTGTGGGATTCAGTGATGTAACAGGCCTAAAACAGCCCTTGACGTCTGCTGTTCATTTCTCTTCCCCACAGAAACAGGCAAGGGACATTTGGCTTTAATTTCTCATCTGGATGCTGGTTTTCATGGCAGGAGCCACCTTCCCAGTCAGAAGGGATGCATGGGACACACCTGTTTTCCCACCCTTCTCAAACTAGGCTGGGAGGGACATGGATACTGCTGATGGTGAGGGTCTGGGCCACAGAGGCAGCTTGATGTGCTGTGCTATGGGACACGTGGGCTAGAAGAGACTGCTAGGAGGCAGAGTCATGTGCACTGAAGACCACAGGCTGGACCCATGGGCTGGGCTGGTACAGAGGTTGAGAGAAGACAGCAGGCAAGCTGGGGCACAGCGACCAGCTGGCGTTTATTTATGTAGTTTGTGTCACTGCACCATAGGTGGTAGAGGAGCCAAAATACTTGATTATCACAAAAAAATAAATAAAGCTTATGTTAAGGGGGGGGGGGGCAGGTTTCACCACAGGGTCCAGCAGGAGCACTACAGGAGTTTGCCTTGGTGACAGCCGAGGCTGGGGCCGCCTGGAGCTTCCACCCTGTTCCCTGTTCCCGGTAGCACTGAGCAGTCTCCCGTACAGGGGAAAGGGTTCCTAGTGACTAAAGAGCTATGAGGCAGGACGGCGTGCAACTAGAGCTCCAGTGCTATCAGACGGCCCTGTCCGTGGCTCCAGGTTAGACGGCAGCTTCCCCAGACCGCTTCCGGGAGATGTGCTCCAGGTGAGCATGCTCTGAGGTGTCCAGGTCTATTTCGTACTTGGCTAGGATTTTGAGGATTGGCCTCAGCTTCAGCCACCACTGCTCCTTGGGGATACGGTGCCTGGAGAAGAGCAAGGGAGCTGGTAAGGGCACTGCTCACCACCTGGTCAGCTTCTGCCAGAGGCCCAGGGCAGGGGGCCTGGGCATTTGCATCCAGAGTTGGCCAGGCGACAGTGTTCCTCTTAAAAGAAGAGTGTGGTTGGCAGTGGCCGGGGAGGATAGCAGAGGACAACAGAGCTACAGAGCATGGTCAAGGAGGACAGCAGAGCTACAGAGGAAGGCTGGGGAGGACAGCAGAGCTACAGAGCATGGTCAGGGAGGATAGCAGAGCAGCAGAGTGTGGTCAGGGAGGACAGCAGAGCAGCAGAGCATGGTCAGGGAGGACAGTAGAGCAGCAGAGCATGGTCAGGGAGGACAGCAGAGTTGCAGAGCATGGTCAGGAAGGACAGCAGAGCTGCAGAGCGTGGTCAGGGAGGACAGCAGAGCTGCAGGGCATGGTCAGGGAGGACAGCAGAGCTGCAGAGCATGGCAGTGAACTCACTCAAAGTCCGTCTGGTCCTTCAGTTCTGTCACAGGCTGGAAGACCAGAGCCCTCTTCCGCATGCCCAGGACACAGCCTGAGTCTGGAGTGTTGGCAAAAATGCGTCCTACAGCAAGGGTGGCTGTCAGCTGGGCACCACAGGACCAAGCCCCCCTTGAGGGGGCATCCACCCCATGCCACCTACCGTTGCGGTAACTCTCTTTAATCTTCCCAGACATCCAGTTCATAGCCTTGGCACCCATCTTAGTAGCAAAGTTCCTGTCGAAGGGAGTTGGGCTCCCTCCCTGGACAGAGATCACATAAGTGGCAGGGGAAGAACTCCAAGGAGCGTGGAGGGGGACATGTGAACACACGTGAGAACCAGCAGGAATGGAAGGGGCAGGGCTGCTGGCTGTCACACCCACTCCCTCAGTTCAGTCAATGCCACTGGGCTGCCCAATTGTCCCTCAGGAGGACAGGAAATGTTACAGATGGCCTGAGCTCAGGAATAGCCCCTGCCCTTGGGCTAATGGCCCTCCTACCCCCCTAGCCCCAAGTGGGACCTGATGGGAAAGGGGTGGGGGTTGGGATAGGTTTTCTTGTCGCCGGGAAATTGCAGACTCCTCACACATGAGCTTGGACCAGGGAGAAGCTTCTATACCACCCAGACAGCTTCTCTCCAAAGCACCCTGTCTTCTGTGGAGATAACTCAGTCAAGTACAGGGTCATCGTTATACTTCACCTTGGCCAAAGGCCAGGGAGCCCCTTAGTGGCATTTCTGCTATTTTGGGGTGAGGGGCTACAGCTGCCTGGGTCGGGGTACAGTCTGTAACAGACCACAATCACATTAGGGAAGCCCTGCCTAATGGCATGGCACCCCAGCACAGGCCAGGCCCTCTGTAGGGCTGCTTGGGTCGGGGTACAGTCTGTAACAGACCACAATCACATTAGGGAAGCCCTGCCTAATGGCATGGCACCCCAGCACAGGCCAGGCCCTCTGTAGGGCTGCTTGGGTCGGGGTACAGTCTGTAACAGACCACAATCACATTAGAGAAGCCCTGCCTAATGGCATGGCACCCCAGCACAGGCCAGGCCCTCTGCAGGGCTGCTTGATTTGAGTGCCCCAGCCTGGGCAGGGCCCTCTCCATGACTGCACAGCACAGCCTCCCCACCTGCTGCATATGACCCAGCACGTTCTTTCTGCTGTCGAAGATGCCCTTCCCCTCCTCCGAGTACAGGTTGAAGATGAAGTCCGTGGTGTAGTTCTCATTGCACTTCTCGTTTCTGCCAGGAAGGGCCGGACCTGACATCCCACTCCCACTCCCCGGGGCTCCATATATACTCCTCAGGAAGCCACAACCAGGAGTCCTACCCCCCCAAACCAGTCTGTGGGTTAGGGGCAAGGTCCACCTCCCTTATTCCCAGGAACCAGCACCTGAGTACCAAGCCTCTCTTCACAGTTGTCTTCATCTTCTGCACAAGATGGTCAACGTTCGCCTGGAAACAGATGTTAGCCGGGCCTGGTGGGAGCTGGGAATGTAGGCGGGTGGCCCGGGGTTCTGGCAGCCTCATCCTGAGCTCTGCCCCTTCCAGATTCTTCAGACAGACCCTGGGCAGCTCCATCACTGGCACTGCACAGCTGGCAGGCAGCAGGCTGGAGGAGCTTGGAGTTGGGGGAAGGGATGTAGCAGCGGGGCTGTCCAGCATCTTACACTAGGAGACCCCTCAGCTGCTGACCCACACTATGGGCTCTGTGGGTAAGGACTCCGCAGTCCTCCATGAATCAGGTGAAGGGGCAGGCCACGCGTAGATTTGGCAGAAGGGCACCTGCTGACTAAGTACCTCAGCCTCAGCTTCAGTGTGCAGGACAGCTCTGCTGTGGCTCAACAGAGCAGCATGGCTATGGGAGGTGCCATGGAGAGGCCCTGCTAGGACAGACCACCACAGGCTGCTACAGGTGGCTGGGAGGGACAGGGTGCGCTGTAGGTCTACCTGCAGGTCCCGGATGGTGAAAGGCTCTTCAAAGATGTAGGCAGCATCGGCACCAGCTGCCAGCCCTGCCATGGTAGCCAGGTAGCCACAGTAGCCACCCATGGTCTCAATGATGAACACACGGCGCTTGGTGCCTGCAGCCGACTGTTTGATACGGTCACACGTCTGCAGAGACCAGGGAGCCTGCGTCACTTCTCTGTGGACCCAACCCTGCAACCATCAGGCCCCTATGGACCCCTGCTGTGCTGGCATGTGAGACAGCAGGCCCTCTGCCAACCACATACAGAACTGTTGTGCAATGCTATGCAGGAGGAAGTGCCTGACACATGGGTGCCTGTGCTCTTGCAGATAAGGGAAGGCCTTTGTTCAAACATGGACACTCATTGGGACCAGGGCACACAGCCGGTCCCTTCCTAGGACCTCATTTGGATGCACATGTCCCCACTGGAAGAGCAGGAGTGGCAGACTCACCGTACAGATGGTGTTGAGTGCGGTATCAGCACCAATGCTGAAGTCCGAGCCAGGAACATTGTTGGACACTGTGGCAGGGATGACCACGAAAGGGATACAGAGCTCATCAAACTGCTTTCTGCCCTCCATCAGCTCCAGGCCTCCAGTGTATGCCTAATGGGT